AAAATTCAAATATATTACTTGTATGGAGATAATATAATTGGAAGAAATGAGGTCTTACTATATTAGCATTAATGAATAACTTATAATTAGAAATGAATTATAATTTTTAATATTTTATATGAATTATAAATACAAATAAAGCAGAATTCTTAAGCCATCTATTCTCTACCTCAGTTTTAATCTTCAGTTATTCTATAGGTTAAGAACTTAATTTTCTTGTTTCTAAGTTTGAGAAAACCAGAAAAGCAGATAAAAAATTACAATAAGAATTGCAGTATGTAATGAAACTGTTTTCTTAGAATCACTTGCTAGCAGATTTTCCAGTCCTGATGGAACTGTTTGATCTCTGTCACAGAAGAAAATGTGTGTGTGTGTGTGTGTGTGTGTGTGTGTGTGTGTGTGTAAAATGATGTTGATATATATCACAGATTCTCCTTTAACATTATAATTACATAATACAGATTTTTTTTTTATTTCTAGGAATACAAACGATTTTTATGGTCTTATTAGCAGGGCTAAGTAGTTATATTAATATACCCTTCCATTGACTATTCTAAGAACAGTCTCCATTCCTATATACATCTTTCCTAAGGTACCTCCCTCACTGGGATGGATTTTAATCTTGGAAGAAGCTCAAGGATTTATATAAGGTATTTTCCTAGGAATACAATTGTTTGATTGTTAGATATTCTCCTCTTCAACTTCACTACATGTGCTTAAATTACACCCCAAATTTGTTATGTCAATTTGTACTTTTACCAACAATATATTTTCCTCTTGCTCTGTATCATCACTAATACAAGTATCGTCAGTATTTTAATTTTTGTCAGTCTGATGGGTATAGAATAGTATCTTATTGTAGCCTAATGTTCTTGATTACTAGCCAGCTCTGCATCTTCCATAGTAGCTGTTTGTCCCTATCTCACTAATTAGGAATTCTTCTATTCTAAATAGTTCAGTGTGAATGGGTCTGTTTATGGTCACTCAGTTCATTTTTAGTAGTCTTATCCCTCTGCTACTATATTCAGTTAATTAAATAATCTTATTAACTGGCAGAACAAGGGTGCTCTTATTCTTCCAAGTTGGCTATTCACTTTTCCATATGAATTTTAGAACAACTTTATGAGTTCCATGAAAAAAATCCTGTTGCCATTTTGTTAGGAATTTTAATACATTTATGTATTAATTTTGAAGAATATTGTCCTTATAGTATTGAATCTTCCTATAAATAGCGCTTTGCATATAGAGGTTTTGGGGGTTTTTTTGTTTAAGTTACTCAGTAAAAGTTTACATTTTTTTCTTAAACTTCTAGGGAAAGCCATAGGATTTCTCATTATTTTTGTTGACAAAATAATTGGTATTTTTATTACACTCTAAGTTACTAGTTTTATCATTGATTTTTATATCTCTATTTTGTGTGTCACATGCTTTCATTAGTTTATAGATCTGTTCGGATTTCCACGTAGGTAATCATATTCACTGCAATATTAACAATATGTGTTTTTTCCTAATACTTAATATCTTTCATTTCATTTTTCTGTATTATTTTGCTAGATAGGATCTTTGGAGGTTAATTGACACCATTATGGTGGGCATCCTTTTCCTCTCATCCTAACTTCAATGGAAATGATCCTGTATGTTGCTGTTGGATATGGTGTTTCCTGTAGGCTGGTAGTAGTTGTGAGTTATGTCAATCTGTTTATTGTCTTTGTTTTTAGATTACAGAAGTTCTATTTCTAGTTTGCTAAGAGGTTGTAGGGGTGTGTGTGTGCTTTCAGTTGCATCTGTATAGATGATCACATGGGTTTTTTAATTAATCTATTGGTATGGTACATTACATTCATAGATTTTTTCAAATGATAAAACATTTATTATGAGATTAACTCATAAATTCAGCATGTCTTTTTAACTACTGGATTTGAATTGTAATGATTTTATTCAGAATTTTGGCATATATAGTATTTGTTTCTGTTACTGCCCTTTGTTGGGTCTAGCATCAAAATTATACCAGTTTTATAAAATGAGGAATAGTCCCTCTTTTTCTGTTATCCAGAACCATTTGAATAAGTGCATATTATTTGTTCCCTAAATGTTAGAATTTGCCTGTGAAACAATCTGGATCTGATATTTTCTTTAGTTTATTTGTCTTACAAGTAGATTTTTAACAACTGATTCTGTTACTTTAATATCTGTAGTTATTCAGATTATTTATTTGGGGGTTTTCAGTTTTGAGAATGTGTATTTTTCTAGAAATTGACCGTTTTGTACATTCTTACAAGACTGTTGTTCTTAGTAGTATCATATGTCTTTTTTAAATCTCTTAACATATCTTTAGTTATGTATCCACTTTCATCTCACTGTTGTTTCCACTGGTCTTTTTTCCTTGGATTTGGTTTATTTTAATAGACTTTTCAAAGAACCACTTATTTCCTTTTTGATTCTTTTGATTAAATTCTTTTCCTGTCTCTTAATTTCTTTTTTATACTTCATTTTAGTATGTTCTTTGACTTCTGGAGTTGGATGCTTTCTCAGTTCTTTCTAATATTATACAGTTCTTTTATATTACAGTCAAATTGCATCTCACAAGTCTTAATAGTATTTTTTTTTTTTTTGAGACAGAATCTCTCTCTGCCACCCAGTCTGGAGTGCAGTGGCACAATCTCAGCTCACTGAAGCCCCCACCTCCCATGTTCAAGCAATTCTGCTGTCTCAGCCTCCTGAGTAGTACAGGCATGCATCACCACACCCAGCTAATTTTTGTATTTTTAGTAAAGATGTGATATCACCATGTTGGTCAGGCTGGTCTGGAACTCCTGACCTCAGATGATCCTCTCAAAGTGCTGGGATTACCACATGAGCCACCACACCTGGCTTAATAGTGTTTTCATTGTCATTAATATCTTAAATTGTTCCTTATAATATCTCATTTTCTCCATAAATTTAGAATTCTCTTTAATTTTCAAGCACTTTTTCCCTATACTACTGACTGTTTTTTAGTCTATTTGCATTTTTTTTTCAGAGATATGTTCTCTCTGACAACAATTCTTGGTTATTGTTGACATTGTTCTTCAGTCTTTGTAATCTGAATATATGTGATAAATTTTCTAAATTTTCCATGTGTGCTTGAAAAGAATATGTATTTCCTAATTGTTAGACTCAGACTTCAATATATGTTCATCAAATCAAACTTACTAATTGTATTGTTAAAATCTTTTAAATCTTAACTCATTTTTTTTGTTTAGTCCTTTAATTGCTTAGAGTTATGTCGAATTTACCCCTTATGGTGTGGATTTGTTCAATTTCTTCTTGTAATTATGCATTTAAAATACTCCTGGTGAATTATTACTTTTATTATTAGACAGAGACTCTTTGTGCCTAATAATGTTTTTTATCACCTTGAACTGCATTCTGTCAGGTATTAATAAAACCACAACTTTTGGTAGGGGAGAAAAGGCAAACATTTATCTGTTCTCTGATAAAGTATGTTTCTTCCTTTGTATTTTAAATACGTCTCTTTTAAACATCATAGTTATCTTTTAGTGCAATCTGAAATATGTGTTAAGTGTTGAGTTTATTCTATGTATAGTAATTACTAATATATTTGTATTTATTCCTATCATTTTCTACTTTTTATTCTGCTTTATAAAATGCTACTTTTTTCCTCCTTTCTTTCCTTTCATGTTATTTAATGAGTTTTTTTTCTCCTTTTTTTCTCTGCCCTTGGTTTTTTAAGTTATGTAGTCATTGTCTTTTATTTAATGCTCATATGTTCTCATATTTTAGAAACGAACTGTTTACAGCCCTCCTCAAAATTGGCCATCATTATTATTTCACACAATCAATGTTTCTTTTGATTTACCTGAGTGTTTGCCACTTTCATTCCTCACCATTCCTACTTTCATCTTACTCTTTCCTTTGGGGTTCAGTTAACTACTTATTAAAGTATGTAATTTAGTAGTTCTTTCAGAGAATGTGTATTGGTAATGCTTAGTTCTTTGATGTCCAAATGTCTTTTAATTTTGTTCTCATTCTTGAAGTATGATTTAACTGAGTGTAGAATTCTACCTTGATAGTTACTTTTCTCAGCGCTTTAAAATGTTTTCTACTGCCTTTGATGTAGACTGTTTTATGACATCTACCATCAGTCTCCTGCTGTCTTACAATTTTATAGTAAACTGATTTGTCTTCCTGGTGTTTTAGAGATCTATTTGATTTTGGTATTTGCAATTTCAATATCTTGTATTTATATATGTATTTATTTTTTTTTGTCTTCCTTGGGATACATTATTTTTCCCAAAATACATATGAGGCTTTTTAGATTAGATTCTTCAGGTGAGACTTCACCTTGTCTACCTAGAGACCAGATTGAGACAAACAATCTTTCTTGATGTATTCCTGTATTGTTGAGTGACTTTTATTAATGCTTTTGCTCTTTAGGGTCTTTGCTTTATTTCTGAATGTATCATTTTTTGTCACTTACTTCCCAAAAATGTTCCTGGCTCCTCATTTCTTGTTCCATCCTGGTACTGCAACCCAAGTGATTAAGACTACCAAAATGCTGTTACAGTAGTATGTCTACTGAGCTAATACAAATGGAATCAGTAACCACAGTTGATTTTTTAAGTGTAACTATGTATGCTAGGTGAACATAGATTAAGGAGAACAAAAACTAAAGCAGTAGTTACTAATCATTTTTATCCCAGTTCTATGCTAGAGGGATATCACATACTCACTTCAGGCACACTAGCTTACTACTATATGTCTTAAGAAAAAGAACTTGTAGTTATGTCCCCCTGGTGGATGGGGACTAAGAAAGCTAAGATAGCAGTGACCTAAAAGGATGAGGTCAAAGAGAGAGACCTAAAAGAGAACAAATCATTGGGAGTTTCATACTATTGATTATCTATGTTCTTTGATTCTTCAATAATGCTCTTGAGAAAGATACTGCATATGTAATTAATTGTATTTTTTTTCTGCATGTGTTTGTTGGTTCTTTTAAGGCATTTTGTGAAACTTTAGAAGAGACTAACTACCGCTTACAAAAAGAACTACTTGAAAAACAAAAGGAGATGGAATCACTAAAGAAACTGCTTAATGAGAAGCAACTTCATATAGACACTTTAGAGAAAAGATTCAGGTGTGTTGTGATACTTGCATTTCTAGTCTAATTCAACTCTTAATACTCTGGGATAAATGCCATTTACATTTTAATATGATTTAGGAATTTTCTGATTCTGAAAGTTGTAGGCTTTTGGCATTCTTCATTGGGAAAATCATGCTTTGTTTAGAAAGCTGAACATTGAAGGATGGGAAAACATCAGGAAAATAATCCACTAACTATTGAGCAAGATAAACATTATTCATTATAATTGTTAAATCATTATTAAATAAATCATTATTAAATGGAATACCATTATTTTATTTAGGGGATATCTTACTTTCTAGGCATTTATGCCAACTTCTCACATATGAAAGCTCTGGTTTGCCATCCCGTCAGCATATCTTGAATTGATGCTAAAGTAAGTTTAAATTAATCATAGCTACTAATTTCTCTGTATACTCCCAGAGTGAGCTGTTTATTAGCTATGTGAGTGCATTAAGGCTTAACGGCTAAAGACTGCCTATAGCTGCATGTATTCACAACATTAAACATATGCCTGTTTTGTTCATAGAAAGTAACTTGTTGCCATAACATATTTTTAGAACAATGTCTTTAGAACCTAAAGAATCACTGGACGTGTCAGAAACAGAAGGTGAACAGATCCTAAAGGTGGAGTCCTCTGCACTTGAGGTTGATCAGGATGTCCTGGAAGAAGAATCTAGGTATATAATATTTCATTTATGATAGCTTAATATTTTTGTTAATTGGAGGGAAGTGATTCTAGTACTCTATAGAGCATTTTTTGTTATGAGTTCACTGTTAACTGTGTCACAAATCTGCTGAGCAAACAAAGGATTGTAGATATTTTAGGCTGTCCCTAAAAATGTATCTTTGACATCAGGCTGTAAGTTTTCTTCTTACTTACTTCACAGCTGTGTCTACATTAACTGGCCTCTGACTCAGGTAATTTATTATTATTTTTTAAATATTGACAAACTACCTTAATCTCCCTCACCTCAATATCACCTGTTTTCCATTCAAAAAGTAGGATACTATAATATAATAACCACCACCCTTCCTACCTAATAGGAATGATGAAAATGTAATTTATTTGAAAGCACAAAAGCACATAGAGGTTTGAGGTTTTAGTTTTTTTGGTTTTTTTTGTTTTTTTTTTTTTTTTTTGGTTTGGTTTTTTGAGACAGAGTCTCGCTCTGTCACCCAGACTGGAATGCAGTGTGGCACAGTCTTGGCTTACTACAACCTCCGCCTCCTGGGTTCAAGTGATTCTCCTGCCTCAGCCTCCCAAGTAACTGGGACTACAGGCGCTCGCCACCATACCCAGCCAGTTTTTATATTTTTCGTAGATAGGGGTTTTTACCATATTGGTCAGACTGGTCTTGTTCTGACCTCATGATTTGCCTGCCTCAGCCTTCCAAAGTGCTGAGAGTACAGGCATGAACCACTGCACCTGGCCCACATAGAGTTTTTATTGCATACAGATCCAGAGTAATGGTTAATAGTTTAGTGGTAATGGTAGACTATAATTATGAGAACAATTTTATGTTAAAGGTAATTACCATGTAGATCTTTATTGGTCAGTGGTAATTTGGAGAGGTGTAAAAGTTTAAAAACCTATCTCCAAAGGTCTTACCTGTCAATGACAACTTAAAAATATTAAATTTCTGATTGAATGTTTAAATACTTTTTTATATTAAATACTTTTACACTAAGTATGTCAATATGATTTCTATAAGGTAGAAGATTTTTAAAGGTAATAGTAACATGAAATAATAGCATGCATCTATCCCTTCATTGACATGTTGCTTTTTTTTTTTTTTTTTTTTTTTTTTTGCAGAGCTGATAATAAACCATGCTTAAGTTTTAGTGAACCTGAGTATGCTGTATCAGAGATAGAAGTAGCAGAAGTGGCGTATGATGCTGAAGAAGACTAATACACCACAAGCAGTCCCCTCCATTTAGACGATTCAGCAAATTTAGAAGAGTGGCAAATACTATCTTAAAAGAAAAAAAGAACTGTAAAATATACAGAAAAAGCAAGAATGCACATGTATGAAGTTTATGTAAAGAAGTTTTTTTAAGTTATTGGGATAGGAAATGTATTCACTGCTGCTTTATAATTGTGTTTTATCCAATTATATTTAATACACTAAAAAAAATCTTGTTAGAATTCTGTTATCAAGGCCCACATTCTTAAATACTGTGCATAAATTATTATGGCGTTTTGCCTATATGTTGCTCCAAACTGCTGTGTATATATATATATATATGTATGTGTTAAATCACCAATTATATTAATCAAATGGAAATTAATTGCTTGTTACTATCTGGGTGATAGATACTTCTTTATATCTCTGACATGACATATTTTGATTAATGGTTTAAATCAGTGACCATCATAGTAAAGATAGAATTTAGTTGAGTTTCTAGTGTTTACATGTTTACCATCTGTAAATAAAATTTGCTTATGTGAAATGTTAATGCTAAGGGGAAAAAAATTACTATCTAGCACCAAAGGAAAACTACTTGAAAGGGCTGCGGTCATATAGCTAAAGTGATAAACTAGCCTTGATTTTAAAAGCTGATTCATTAATATCAGAATACTTTAATAAGTGTAATGGTTATTAATATGTTATATTTGTTTAGTTTCCACATAATCTTTACATCTACCTAGATTTAGTGAGTTTGCCTCTTTCAGAATACTACCTCTTTTTGTTAATCAAGGCATATTCTTTTGAAAATATAGAGTCTAAATAAATAGGGTCTTATACAAAAAAGAAAACAAAATAAAAAGCCATATATACTGCAAAGTTCCTAACTGGCTTGACTCCTGGCATTGCATTTTTATTTCTATATATGTGAAGATGTTATTATACTGTATTATGGCTGATTTTCTTTTTAACGTATTTAGCCAAGTGATGCACTTTATGATAATTAAACTCTTTTGTGCCAAGTTTCATTGGTGGATTTCTTTAGTAAGTAGAGTTAGGAGAAAGAATTATGTAGTGCCTTTACTATTTCACTTTCTACAAAAGTCTCCTAGGGTCTGTGAGTCAGCTTTATGAAAAAATGTTTATTTCAGGTTTATGTACAGTAATTGAAAGTGCCTTGTTTCATTTTTATAGTGTGAAGTTACTCATTTATTTTCTGTTTTCACTATTTTGCATATTGCTGTTAATACGCATTGTAATAATGCTGGCATTTTGCAATCCCAGTCGGTATGCTTTCTAAAAACTGAGGGAAACTTACTGGGGAAATAGAATAACAATCTCCATTTTTTTTTTAACTATCTAAAAGTTTATCAGTATCTTGATGTACATATTAAGATGTGGCTGTTTAAAACTCTACTGACATATATCAACACATCCAATGGCTGTTGTTAACCTTTGAAGTAAAAAGGAAACTACTTTTTTACCAAATAACCAAAAATTTTTAAAGTCTTTGTCAGAGTGCACAGGTATGCTCTGAGAACATTTTCCAAAAAGTGTATTAGAAATATGTTTACTTAGAGACAGATATGAATATAACAAATTGATCTGCTTATTAAAATTATTCTAGACTTGCAAAAGGCTTAAAAAGAACAATCATTTAGTCAGTACAATTTTGAATCTTATATAACAGATCTTTGCCAAATTCTAGATATTGTAGTATTGCCTGTCTGCTCTAAAGTAAACCACCCACTTTTTCAATCTGGCTTTTCAGAAGATTGTATGTAAAGCTTTGCAAGAGTGAAGAAAAAAAAAATCTGTTAATTAGGTAAACCACTATTATTTATATTTATAATTTACCTTTTTTTACTTTTATAATGCATTTCACTCCCGGTATTATGTTCATTTAATAAATTATTTTTTCATTGCAACAGTTACTGTGTTGTTCATATGTTGAATACTGTTTTCCCCTCCACTTTCTATATTCTTCTCCCTATCCTTTATGATTATTGTAAATTGAATTATATTAAGTGCTGCATTTCACAGATGTGGAATGAGTCTGATTTTCTTTTTAGGTTTACCCTCTATATTGCTGATCATTTTTGAAAGTCTTTGTGACTAGGTGCAATGTACTTTAATGTAACCTATATTAATAATTTTAAAAAATTGGATGTAACTGAAACAACATTTCTGTGGATAATCTTAACTTTTTAAAAATTAAACTTACATAAAGTTAGTACAACCATAAAACAGCATTTTAAAATGTAACCGTCTACAGTGAGATTAGCCATTTACAGCACATTTATTTAGAAAACCAGGCTTAGAAAAATTATCTGTGTAGTCTAGTTCAATCTGTGATATTAAAAGGGAACAATGGCTTTAGATATAAAAATAATTTGGTTTTGAAATGGATTTTATTACTTATAGGAACAGATGGGTTTGTGGATGATGATAAAAACAAGTTTGTATTCCCAACTTGCAGAGAGAGGAACCTAAATTTTATTTTATCCTCTAGGAAATCTTCACAGAGCTACATATTTGATCCACATTTTGGCTCTTCATAGAATTACTGTTACTGCATTACACTTTGTTTCTATGCTGTTGGCTCCAAATAGCAAACAGTCATCAAAATACATATTTTCAATGTATGTTTTTAAGGCTAATGGCTACTTTTAAGTATGTCACAGAGTGTACCTTTTATGAGAACCCATTGGAGAAACTTCTCTTGGGTCTCAGTCTCAGCAAAACATCTACTCCTACACAGTTGATTTGGGGTTTTTTGTTTGTTTGTTTTTGTTTTTTTGAGACAAAGTCATCTCTGGAGGGCAGTGACACGATCTCAGCTCACTACAGCAGTGGTCACTGCACCAACCTGATTTGTTTTTTGTTTTTTGAGATGGAGTCTCATTCTGTCACCCAGGCTACAGTGCAGTGGCGCGATCTCGGCTCACTGCAATATCCGCCTCCCAGGTTCATGCAGTTCTGCCTCAGCCTCCCGAGCAGCTGGGACTACAGGCGTGCGCCACCATGCCCGGCTAATTTTTGTATTTTTAGTGCAGATGTAGTTTCACCATGTTGGTCAGGCTGGACTCGAACTCCTGACCTCAAGTGATCCGTCTGCCTTGGCCTCCCAAGTGCTGGGATTACAGGCGTGAGCCACCATGCCCCAGCAGCCTGATTTGTTTGTATCTTTTTAAAGAGTCTATTGCTGTCTTTGTTGGTCCTCTTTGTTTTGTCTTTTGGCAGCTCTAGGCCAAATTGTAGTTCACTTGTGTGGTTATGCTTTCCTGTTGTAATCATGGCTTTATTTTTCATCTTCAATTTTTTTTCCTATTTAAGTTGTTTTATTAGAACATACAGGCCAGGCATGATGGCTCACTCCTGTAATCTCAACACTTTGGGAGACTGAGGCAGGCAGATCACGAGGTCAGGAGTTCAAGACCAGCCTGGCCAATATGGTGAAACGCCATCTCTACTAAAAATACAAAAATTAGCTGGGCGTGGTGGCACGCTCCTCTAGTCCCAGCTATTGGGGAAGCTGAAGCAGAAGAATCACTTGAACCTGGGAGGTGGAGGCTGCAGTGAGCTGAGATCACGTCACTGCACTCCAGCCTGGCTGACAGAGCAAGATCACACCACTGCACTCCAGCCTCAGTGACGGAGCAAGACTCCACCTAAAAAATAAATAAATAAATAAAATTTTAAAAAATGGGGCATGGTGGCTCATACCTCTAATCCTAGCACTTTGGGAGGCTGAGGAGGCAGGTGGATTGCCTGAGCTCAGGAGTTTGAGATCGGCTTGGGCAACACAGTGTAACCCTGTCTCTACTAAAATACAAAATTAGCCAGGCGTAGGCTGGGAGTAGTGGCTCAAGCCTGTAATCCCAGCACTTTGGGAGGCCAAGGCGGGTGGATTACAAGGTCAGGAGTTCAAGGCTGGCCTGGCCAAGATGGTGAAACCCCATCTCTACTAAAAATACAAAAATTAGCCAAGTGCAATGGCAGGTGCCTGTAATCCCAGTTACTCAGGAGGCTGAGGCAGGAGAATCACTTGAACCCGAGGATCGGAGGTTGCAATGAGCCAAGATCACACCATTGCACTTCAGGCTGGGCAACGAGCAAAACTCCATCTCAAAAAATGTGTGTGTGTGTGTGTGTGTGTGTGTGTGTGTGTGTGTGTATACTTGGGAGGAGTGCCAGGTGCAGTGTCTCATGCCTGTAATCCCAACACTTTGGAAGGCTGAGATGGGTGGATTGCTTCAGCTCAGGAGACCATACCTGGAGAAACCCCATTCCTCCAAAAACTAGCCAGGTGTGGTGGCCCCTGCCTGTAGCTCCTGAGGTGGGAGAATCACCTGAGTACCAGAGGTGAGGCTGCAGTGAGCCGTGACCACACCACTGCCCTCCAGCCCGGGCATCAGAGTGAGATCCTGTTTCAAAAAAAAAGCCTTGAAAGTAGATCATTGCAACCAATGTATATTCAATAATGTTTTATTATAATAGACACGGTGAGAGTAAGCATAGACTTTAAATAATGTTTGCAGCCTAGCTAATTGTAATTAAAGACATATTAGCAGTAGTCAAATAGTGGCTAAAATGTGAAATGTAAAGCCCCACATTTGGGTTATTAAGCTTGTAATTCTGGAGGACTCTAGAATTAGCTGATCTGCTAGTCCACACTTCTATAATAGTTCCTTTGGATAGCAGACTGTTCTCCAGCTAACACTACAGATACTTACATTGCTCTTCTGCTTTGCCACCTCTTACATAGGAATGAGAAAAACTACAATAGCCTTTTTTTTTTTTTTTTTTTTTTTTTTTTTTTTTTTTTTTTGAGACAGTCTCGCTCTGTTGCCAGGCTGAAGTGCTGTGGCACAATCTCAGCTCACTGCAACCTCCAATTCCCAGGCTCAAATGATTCTCGTGCCTCAGCCTCCTGAGTAGCTGGGATTACAGGCATGCACCACCATGCCCAGCTAATTTTTGTATTTTTAGTAAAGATGGGGTTTCACCATATTGGCCAGGATGGTCTTAATCTCCTGATATCCTGATCCATCCACCTCGGCCTCCCAAAGTGCTGGGATTACAGGTGTGAGCCACCGAACCTGGCCACAATAGTCTTTTAACTGATCTTTCTATTTCCACTTCTGCCCCAACTATAATCCATTCTCTTAAGAGAGCCACAGTTTATTTTTATTTTTTGAAAAATCTTAATCACATCATTTTTTTCTACCCAAAAATGTTCAAAGATTGCCATTGCACTTAATATAAAATTTACACTTCTTTTCTTGACATTCAAACATGGTTTCACCTCTACAAACTGTTCTTTTCTAATGCCTGCCCACGTGGCTACCTTTTCATTCTCTGAGTCTCAAACTCTCTTGTCTCCTAACTTTTTGTCTGGGAATGCTATTTGTCTGGCTCTTCCTCTTCAAGTCTTAAATTTTTCCTCTTTGGGTAACTTAAAAGAGTCCTCAAAACAGTTGCCAAATTTAATCTTAAAGTTATTATTTACTCTTTTATTATCTGTTTCCTCTTTTCTCCTCCCCAGTTTTTCCCCCAAAGGCAGGCTTTTGCAATTTTTCTCTAACCTCCTCCCCACTTAGAAAAGGATCTGGAACACAGGGTTCAAAAACATTTATTGAATAATTCGGATTCTAAAAACCTGAATTAGGGCAGTAGTAGAGAAAATAGAGATCAATGGTCTAGATAAAGAAAATGTGGCACATATACACCATGGAATACTATGCAGCCATAAAAAAGGATGAGTTCATGTACTTTGCAGACACATGGATGAAGCTGGAAACCATCATTCTCAGCAAACTAACACAGAAACAGAAAACAAAACACTACATTTTCTCCCTCATAAGTGGGAGTTGAACAACTAGAACATATGGACACAGGGAGGGGAACATCACACACCAGGACCTGTCAGAGGGTTGGGGGGAAGGAGAGGGAGAACATCAGGACAAATCCCTAATGCAGATGATGGGTTGATGGGTGCAGCAAACCACTATGGCACTTATATACCCATGTAACAAACCTACACATTCTGCATATGCAATCCAGAGCTTAAAGTATAATAATAATTAAAAAAAGAAAAGAGAGGTCAATGACAAAAAATATTGGGACAGAAAATATAAGCCTTGGGAACTGATACTCTCAGGAGATTGTTGTGCTATTAACTGATGGAGAGACTTACAGAGGGAGGAGGAGCTTTAGGGAGGCAGAGGGTAGATGCAGTTCAGGACATGCTGCTTTTGGAATATGGTAAGCAATCTGGAGCTGTCCATCAGTCAGTTGGATACAATAGTCCAAAATTCAGAAGAGAGGCATGCCTTATAGAATTAGAGTCAGATTAATTAATTCTCCCTCTTGTTCTTCATATCCCTTGCCCACACTATAATGGTCTAAAACATATTAGGGACTCATATGTTAGCAGCACTTAAATGAAGACCAGAAACACATGGCTCAATATGTGGTATGGTGACAAGCAACATGGAAATATACCTGATGGGCCCAGGTGTCTCATCTGGATAATTTGTTTTTCATTCCATAATTAATTTATCATAGAAGATGGCGTTTTTCTTCCATCAAGTGAGATACAATAATAGCACAATATCACAAAATTCTGGCCCTGTTCTTTGCTTATTTTAATAATATTTAATAGTTTAAAAAGTTCATCTATGACAAACATTATAAGGAATTGGGATAAACTGAAAGCTTTTCTTCTAAGACCAGAAGCAAGGATGCCTACTTTCACCATTCCCGTTCAATATAATGCTGGAAGTCCTGGTCAGAGCACTTAGGCCAGGCATCCCCAAACCACGGCCCGCGTGCCGCATGTGGCCCCCTGAGGCCATTTATCTGGCCCCCCACCGCACTTCAGGAAGGGGCACCTCTTTCATTGGTGGTCAGTGAGAGG